TTAGGGGTTTAGGGTTAAGGGCTGAGGGAATATGTCGGAATTCTTTGGGGATTCTTTGGGGTCCTTTGAAGGTTCTGTGTAAGGGTTCCTCTACGGGTTTTGGATCTAGGCTTAGGCGGCTTAGGGTTGGGGGTTTATGTTGCTTAGTTGCAGGGCGCACCTGCGAGCTTCTAGGACACTCCCAGGATTGAAAGTCAGTCCAGGGTTTTCGACATGTTGTAACCTGCTTTGCTGGAGTTTTGCCCCAACTGTAAGACTTCGAATAGGGTTGCGTGGCATTTCATGACATAATGCAAGTAAGTACCCTAAACCCTAAACCCTAATTGGAGGTTCATGGGTAGTTATACATGGGGTTATAAGTAGGGTAACTATACTTATAACCCATATTAAGGGACCTATAACCTCACTGAGAGCTACCCATGAACCTCCAAGTAAACTGCAGGAGCCCTAAGGAAATGAAAGCAGTAATGGTCTTGCTCCACACCATCATTCCGTGAGCTTCCTCCCGACCAGCTCTGCTCTTGATAGTAGTAATAATTACAATGACCTTTATAGTAATCATAATAACAATCGTGGTAATAATACTGTTTATAATGATAATGATAAAGATCATATTTTCTGCCGACCCGGAAGCATGAATCTCGACAGTTCACGCCTTGTAAATCCTTAGCCTGGGCTCTGAAGACCCGTCCTTCATTCGGGGTTGAGGTTTTATTCGTGTAAGGGTCGCCTCAAGCTATTCTAGGGGTTGCGGACAACGGTGCCGTAGAGGTTCCGGGTGAAGAAATTGAGCTTCACTGAATTAAGCCTAAACCCCGACAACCCCAAACCCTGCATTACTTTGAAGCCATCGCAATAGGGTACCCTTCTTCCAAGAAAGCAACAGCCGTCCCCTAAACTCAAAAAAGCCTAACACTCAGGTCCCAGAACCACAACTGGGTTCTTGCCAAGGGATTTAATTTAAGTTACCACAATTGGGGTCTATATAGTGAATAGTATGGTTTCTTTATTATGGTAACTTAAATTAAATCCCTTAACAAGAACCCAGACAGGCCCTAACACCCTTAAGCTAAACCCCAAACCCTAAGCCCTAAACCCTAACTAAGACCTAAACAAAGCGCAGGAGGAGCCTGCACCTGCACTGCAGTGTGAGCGGGCTGTACCTCCAGACATAAGGTCGGCTTTCGGATGGCTGAGGCTTTGCGTTTTTAGGGCATTCGGGTTTTTTGGCGGCCTTGGCTGTAGGGTTTAGGGTTTAGGATTTAGGGTTTTTTTTTTTTAAATGCAGTGGCCCTTTCTCCGCAGGTCTCAGAGCCCGCTCTGTAGCAGAGCTTGCACCGTCAGAAAACGAGGCTTCTTAGTGCTCAGTGTCTGTAAGTCGAAGCCGGACGTCGTTACTAGATAAACTATTGCTCTCACCTTCAGAACACGCATCCGACCCTCCATCAGCACCTCCATCAGTTCCAGCACCAAACTGCTCAGTCTCTGCCGTTTCAGCCACCATCACCACCCCAGACGAACATGACGTTGAGGGCAACAGAGAGGGCAGCGAAGAGGAGCCATGCGCATGCTCACCCACCGGCAGGACCCCGTCGACATCATCAAGAACCAAAGGGTAGAGCTGTGGTGAAGGACGTTGTCGTCGAAAACGGCGTCGGCTAGCAACACCAAACTGGACTCGAGCTCTGTAAGGCTGCTCTGGAGGAGGGATGCCCTGCGGGTGGTTCGGAACCGGCACATTCATGTTCGTCTGTACGAGGTACAGCTCCGTCTCACTCGCCTCATCACCGGTGTTCGGCTCAAAGGGTCCACCCCGAAGTTCGCGTGAGGCGATGAGCCGGCTGACGTGAAGCTGCCATGCCCGGCGCCTCATGCCGGCGATGCGCGGCAATGTGTAGCCCGGCAAGGACCTTTCCACCCCCTCTGCATCCGGAAAACCAGGGTCCAGGAGCACAGCTGGCGAAACAGCGACCGTGTTGACCGGAGACGATGAAAGCCCACTCCCAAAGCAAGCCTCATGAGCAATGGACTGCCAGATATTTGCTTCCATTGTCGCTGCATTGTATGACGTAGCTTCCCGTGGCACGACAACATAGGACAGGGCCTCCTCAAGAGCCACTCCGAGAAGGCGGTCACAGTGACGAAGGGCGCGTTGTCGGTCCAACAGTCTTCGCATCGTGTCGTGTACGTCCGCGAGTGTTCCCTGAATGAGTTCTCGTCCCACGGCATCCCTGACCATGTCCTCGGGGTTGTTGGTTCCGGCAGGCGTAGTGGACGATGTCGTGGTGGAGCTGGTGCAGCACGTAGAGGTAGAGGACCAAGTCGTCGATGAAGTCAAGGTGCAGGTAGAACCCAAAGCAGCGGCCAAACCACTGGCTGGGCTGCCACTAAGCCCACATTCCCCCGTCACCACGTTCATGAGGTCGACGGCCAACAAGTCACCCCCAGACGTAGTAGTTGTGGTGTGCTCGGCCAAAGACAAGTCACCCACTTGGAGTAGCCACAAAGTATACACTCCAGGAGGGGTGTCATCCACATCCAGCTGAAGGCTCCAGGTCGAAGTGGTTGAGGTGGACGTCAGGACACTTGCTGGAGAGTCACCGGACGCTGACGCGGGCTCGCACCACAATCCTTGCTGCCTGTTCAGGTCATTGTTCACATGATAGGCTGCGGCCAAATGCGGGCCATAGATGGGCAGCGGCGGCGGTGGCCCAAACGGTCCACCCGTGGGCGAGCGTGGCGAAACAGAAACAATGTCACCCTCCGAGTCAAATGCAATATCACTTCGAGGTACAACAGGAGAGGATGTGGCACTGCTCCTATCCCGACTGCTCCTGTCCCGACTGCGGCTACGAGACCGACTGACTGAAGGAGGGTGAACAGGACCAATGGCCCCAGAGGCCACACCATTGTCGTCCATCGTTGTTGTTGTAGGGGCCGCGGAGGACGAAGCCAGCGTTGTGTCTGGTGGAACAGCAGGAAGCTCACTGGGCTGGAGACGAACATCAACATTGTGCATCAAGGCGTCCCGGAACATGGTGCCGTATTGTCGAACCCAGGAGAACCAGCGCCAGCGCCCAATTTCCTCAGCAGGTACCCTCTGTACCGGAAGAAAGCCACGCGGAACCAAACGTCGAGACAGGACTTCCAGTATGCCTTCAAGCGCTTCCACTGCTTCTTCACCCCGTTGGAGCAGGCGACCAATGGCCCATCTCGACTCGGGCCCCATGTCTTGCGTCTCATAGTCATCGAGGGAGTGCAGCAGGTTGTCGAGGCGATCAATGACCCCCTCAGGAACACCCTGTTCCTGTAGGCTGGCCCTTTCGGCTCCCGTGAGCTGCATAAGGGACATGGTATCATCATACACCGCAGGTCCCACAACAGGAAAGAGGCCTTCGTTGGGGAGAAGCACAACAGTGGAGGAGGAAGTTGTCAAGTGCTGTTCCTCCATAAAGTCACCCGCCAGGGTGGAGGTCACGGACGTCCATGTGTGCCACCATGTCGAAGTTGTACTTGGTGATGTACCCGTCCATTGTCCTGTGAAGTTTGTACTGGGCGAAGTCCAGGTCCACTGCGACGACGACCAAGCCCCGTTGCTCCAGGTCTCACCCCAAGTGTCTTCTGCGGAGGGCCTGTACCACCATCCATTGGGGGCTTGTGTCCAATCAGCTTCGGAACCGGAGGCGGTGTTCCACGCAGATGTAGTCCACGATTGCTGTTGCCCTTGCCACTCAGTGGATGTAGTCCAAGAAGGCGTCGGGTCTGGCAGGTTCGCGTCGTTGTGCACTGCTACATTGCAGACTGGAGGCGCTCTCATTGGTTCCCAATCGGTCCATGTGGTTTCATCAGAAGGGGGTTCACCCTGCGGCCCAGAGGAGGGCGAGGTGACTTGCGACGAAGAAGAGGTCACCCGTGGCGAGGACGACATCCGCTGCTCCTTGTCAGAGATGTACTTCTGAAGCCAGGCCGGTTTCCATTTTCCTTCAAAGTAGTCGCGCGCTCTTTGTTGTTTGCGAGCCGTTCTTTGAGGACCGCAGCCACCTGCGTGTTGCTTCTGCTCGGCTGGTGTGCGAGCACGATTTTGCCATTCTCCTCGTTGCCAAAAACCCACGCCAGAGGAGGAAGAAGACGCGCCAGCAGAGGAGCCGGTGGCATCGTCCGAGGCGGTGTCCACCCCCGTTGTCGTGGAGTCAGTGTCAAGCGGTGTGTTGGAAGCACTAGCTTTGGAACTCACACCATGGAGAGAGACGTCAACTTGAGAAGACTCACCCAGCTGCTCCACCCCATCAAAGGAGTCAACTGAACCTCCAGTGTTTGCACAAGTAGGTTGTGGGGGCGTCGGCTGGCATCCTTGTTCGGCTGCAAGTCGTTCTCTTAAACGATTACGAACCGAGCCGTCAGCGTGGTGCCACCTGTCCAGTCCTTGCCGAATTCGTCCTCCTCGCTGAGTGATTCCTTGCTCTGCTGACGAGTTACTGGAGGAAGAGGAGGCACCCTCTACTTCACTGTCTGCCACAAAGACGTTACTCTGTCCTCCACATTGGTATTTCCGCATACCGATGGGACGTAGTAGAGAACGAGGGTCACGATGTCCAGGGGGAACTTCGTCAGCAGGTGGGGGAGGAGCGCGACCACGAAGAGCACGTCCGTCAGCCAAAGCTTGTAGAATATTCACCCCAAATGAAGGAAGTGAGGCAGGCGAGCAGGGGAAGGGCACCGGCAAGTCCTCAGGTATGGGTGCCAAACCACGTAGATCATCTTGTTGTTGAGGAGGCAAAGGATCTGGTGGATGGTTGACGGCATTGTAGAGCTCCGTCTGCATTGCCAACGTGATATTTTCATCCCATCTTGTGGCCATGAAGAGCTTGTGCTCTGGTGAGTGTGGAACAAGCGAGGGTGTCGAGCACGAACTGGTCGAGGGTCCTGCAGAGGAGGAAGAGGATGCACTCGTGCTGCAGGAAGTCCACGGCGGTGGTGCCCACGTCTCATTGACCGACTGCGTGGGCGGACAACGTGGCTCACGTAGGTGCTGCGGTGCATCGGCAGGAGGCTGTGCTGAAGCGGCTGTTTGTATCGGGGGCGTCTCCTCAGCGTCATCAAACCACGGATCATATGGTGTTGGCGTTGAAGTGCTCGGCGAGGCAGTGAGGGGCGCCGACGCAATAGGCTGGGTGATGTCCACATCGTCACCCCACGCTGCAGCCTTGTAAGCAGCTGTAGTTTCCTCCGACCACGGAAGTGTGCGAGGATCTTGTCGCGAGGTGGCCGAAGGTGTCGAGGGCAAGGCCCAGACAAAGATCATGAAGGCGAGCGCCATGGCGAGAAGTGAAAGAGAGGTTCCAAAGTTCACCTCGAGCCTGAGTGCATCAAAAGGTAGTAGTTTTCAAATCGACGAGCGAGCTCAAAGCATCACGCTGCAATCACTGAGTCAGTGCATGCAGAAGGTAGAGGGCATGTGGTCAGGGCCAGGCGGAAGTTAGGAACGCGATGATCATAGCCACAGACGAGGACAGACATCAATCAACCATGGCACGTCTAGAACCATGACTTCACCCTGTCATCCCCGACAAGACGATCACCACCGCAAAGCAATTTGGCGACCAGAGGTCCACCGAATGTCCCAATGAGCTATGTAGTCACCGCGCAAAGCTGCCCAATTTTGACGGTTCTGCGCACTGACATGCCAAAGGTTTCCAACTGCTTCCGCTATTTGGCGTTCGGGGTTTGCTGCATAAAACCGCTGCGGATGTCTAGCACCGGTGGAAGGCAGACTTTGCTGTGACCTCCACCAATAAGTGGAACGCCAGTTGAGAGTACGCATGTTGAGCCCGGCCTCGATGCCGAGACGGTTGCATGCAGGCTCAACTCGACGAGCCCAGTGACCATGAAGGGCGAACTGAAGGCCAAGTATCTTCTCAGACCACCTAGGAACGTGATGATGGAGTAGCCACACGCGAGCGAAACGAAGAGTGCGCGTGTTCCAGGTGGGCCAATCTTCACCCCTTTGACGTTTGAGGCCAAACGCTGAGCGCACGGTGTGCAACTGAAGCACGTTGGCTTCGTGTAAGTCACAACTGCTCCAGTGGAGCGCACCTGCACACCACGCAAATCTGGATTCAACCAGGGAGCGCATCAAGGAGATCTTGCTTGTCCAGGGGCCTTTGGCACAAAGAATGTCCCGATGTGCAGCAGCAGCTGCCCTGGTTTTAGCAAGAAGATCTCGAGCCTGTTGCGAGGGGCTATCAGATAGTGAGAAGTTCACCCCTAGCACTCTGACAGTCTCAGTTCCAGGTGCAATGCTGAACATGGTGTCCGCGATTTGAACTCGCCGACAACCGACATAGTCAGGGCTAGCAATGATTTTGGTCTTCTCTGCGGCGAGGCACAGGCCGACCCTCTGCAGACACTTGTCAACCGCTCTAACCCTTCGACTAAGACGACCTAGTTGAGTTTCGATGAGGAACACATCATCCTGATAAAACATGAGGTCAACGTCAAGGTCTGGCATTGCACTCCCCAGTTTTCGCCACGGCAGTGAGGCAATCAGTTCGGACAGGGCAGCATCCATGATGAGGCCAAAAATCTCGGCACTTTCTGGTGCACCCTGCTTAATGCCAATGTTGGGACGAAGGCGGACAAGGTCACCCCCAGGAACACGACCAAGTAGCTCATGTTCACGAAGTTGAGACATAAGATAGCGAAGTTCGCACCCCATATCAGAGTCACCCAAACGATCACAGAGAAGCGACACAATCTTGGTGCGGTCCACTCTGTCAAAGGCACCGGCCACGTCAAGCTTACATAGGAGCATGGGTTGGTGCCATTCTCGACAGACATCTCTAATCCTCGACACAGCCCCAATCAAGTCAGCCGCTTGTCTTCCATGTCCACACGTGGAGATGCGGGATCCACGACGGAGGGCAGGAAGGGCTCGTGCACAGACCATGCGGTTGACGAGCTTGTGGAACGCTGAGCTGACACAAATCGGGCGAAGATCACCCGGTTTGGCTGGATGCTCGCATTTGGCCAACAGAGCCAGGTAGCTGGTCTCCCATGAGGTGGGGAGTTCCTGCGTAGCCACTATGTGATTGATGAGGTCAAGTAGTTGAGGGCCAAGTACTTCATGTGAGGCCAGATGTCGAAGAAGGTGAACACCAATACCATCCGGTCCAACGGCACTTCGGCACTTCATCTCTTGCAGTTCAGTGCGAGCATCAAGCAGTGTGAAGGGCAAAAACTGACCTGGCGGAACCTCCTCAATCTGTGACTGCAAACGAAGATCCCAGTCGGTGGCGGCCTTGTCCACCATTTTGCCCTCTAGATGAGACTGAACCTCACGAGAAAGCTGAGCTGCAGAACGGTCTTGGAGCAAGTCACCCCACCAGCCTCTATGTCGACGCTTTTCCGCTTGAAGGTGGCGATAGTCATCCCAGTTGCCGAGGAGGATGCGCTCAAGTCTTTCAGCATTCCATGTGCGTCGCGCTTGTTTACGCATCTTGTGAACTCGTTTCCAGGAGGCCTTGTCACCCTGGCTTCTGGCTGTCACAATCGCCTGTTTGACATCACTGGGATCAGAGTACGCACGGGAAGTCCTGGGCTTGGTGCAGGTCCTACCAAGGGCGATGACATCCTCTGCCTCAATGATTTCGAAGTCAGCTGGCGGTTCTCGTGTCACCCACCTGGCCCTGGAGTCGTTGCCCCATGTCGTCTTGGAGGACTTGTTGACAAAGAAGACGTCAATGTAGACGAGGGCGTGGTCGGTGCCTATCGTGTGGCGTCTTTCTGGCTCGATGACAATATTGACAGAGTCGATCTGGCGAGTCAGAATGAGGTCAATTTGTCGTCCCCGACGTTGTTCATCGCGAGGGTAATGTGTGGCGGTGAATTGCTGACTTTGGCGGGGAGGGACAGGGGTGCACCCAATTTTATTCGCCTCGTCCAAGAGCACATTGAGGTTGGTCGAGCAGTGCCCAATGCAAAGGCGATCGTCACCCTGGATGTCCTGAACATTGTCATCGATGACCCACTGTGTGACCTCATTGGCATCAATGCCACAGATCAGCGGATACTGGCGCCATTTGGAAGGAAGGGATGCAAAGAACTCAAGGACACCGGCCTGGTATTTCGCATTGGTAACCCCGGTGTGAGCATGAAGTGTTCCACATACAACCCGGCCCAGACCTTTGAGGCGAAGTAGGGCCCAAAGACCACGACGGGTGGCCACCTTCTTAATGACACTGTCAAATCTGTCAGCGGACACTCCGATGCCAGTGGCCCTCCACATTCTTTGTCGCGATAGGTGATCCAGTGTAGCGCATCAGTGTCCCATTCCTTCCACCCAGGTTCATCACGTGCAGCTTCTTGAACAAGTAGAACGTCGGAATCAATTGCCGCAACTTCCAAGACATCAACCCCTTGGCCACCCAAATTCCATTGTGAAACACGTCCCCATCTGCATCTTTTACGCGGACAAGGTAGAGCTCGTCCATGTTGTCTCTTGGAGATGTCCATGTCCGAGAAAACGGCAGTCTGATCATCCTGACTCAAGTTCTCAGGTGTGAAACCAAGCATCTGCGGCCCTCAGAGTTCCTTCTCGAATGCCGACTTGGCTTCGTCGACACTACACCCAGCAGTTACTGAAACCGCATCCAAAGACACCCAGCCTCCGGACAGAAGCACATGTTCACCTTCACGAGGGGGTCGTGAGGAAGCACTGCCCAATTTATGACACCCACACCAGACAGTGCCGAGATTCCAATCACAATCATAGGCCGTCGTCTGGGTGTTGAGCATGCATGGAATGCCTCCTCTGGCGTCACGGGCTTCTAGGGCAAGCGCGATTGTGACCCTTCTAATGAGACTCACATGTGCACTTTTGGCCCTGGCAGCTTTGGTCTTCACAAAGCTCCCCCATAGGTGTCTGGTGTCACCCCCTTCACAGGCACTTTTCAGAGGGTGCTTGATCTGAGTCAACAACTTGACGGTCTCCCACATCCGATTGCGAACCGCATCGAAGTCTTCACCCTCCCTTTCACAGAATCTGAGCATACCGACCGATCGCCTCGGACCATAGACAATGATCTTGTCGGTGTCGATCAAGGATTTCACCCCGTCAATCGCAACAAGTTCCGCGAATTCCTGCTCAATGATCACCCTTTTTGTGTCTCTCTGCCATCCTCCAAGGACCAAGGTACGCTTCTCTTCTTCAGTGAGAGAGTCACTCCTGTCACCCTGTGGTATACTGGGAGCAGCCGGTGCGGTCGACGAGGACGGGACGTTGCGGCCATTCCGACGGAGATATTCAGCCCAAGGATCATTTGGAGCACGTTCTGGATTACGAGCTGAACCTGAAGCCGTAGAGTGGGCGATCGTCTTGGTCTGGAGGTCAGACAACTGCACCTTCATATTCTTAACATCCGCCGCGAGCTCGTCGAGGTTCTTGTTGGTGACGTCCAGGTTTGTCTTGATTGCCTGTTGGTCCTTTTCCAGGGCCTTGGTGCGAGTTTTGACCGTGGAGATGTCACCCGCCTGCACTTGTTGGTTTTCCTCCAGGCAATCCAGGCGGCCTTGAAAGGTCTTCCAGGCATTCTTCATCTCAGCTACGTGACCAAATAAGAGTTTACGGATCTCATTCGCGGAGAGGGGGGCATCATCACCCCGCAATGGGCGCTTATTCGGACTCTGCAGATCCTCATCTTCGTCGTCATCAGGAACAGGCGTGGCGAGTGGGCTACCTAGGCCGGCCCCTTCATCATCATCTCGTTTTCTCTTTTCCAACTTCACCTCCATGTCGCCCGGGGCTTCCTCGTCCTCCGCGATCTCCGTGGGTGAAGGAATTTCAACCATGGGAACGTCCGTCATAGTCAGCAAGGGAAGACGGACTGGTTCAGTCACCCACCGAGAATCCACCAAGTGACCTTTTACGTAGACGAGGTGCAACAGGATCACCGCGAGGAACCGCAACAGGCCGCCACGTCACGTACGGGAAGCGGGGAAAGGGCTTGAAGATGAAGGGCTTCTGGCCGCCACGTCACCCTCGGCACCTGGAGAAGCGGGTAGAGGAACTCGAGCAACTGGCCGCCACGTATCGCCCACAAACGGCAAGAAGACACCCAGGGAGAAGACGTCCAGGCCGCCAACCCAAGCAAGTGTACCTCACCCAGTGGAAGCAAAGACCTTCGAATGCGGCGAAATAGGGAAAGGGACAGGGTGGGAGATTTAAAAGGAACTTGGGCCAATGGCTTGAGCCGTAGCCATTTTGGATTTAGGGTTTAGGGTTTAGGGTTTAGGGTTTACATAAGGCTTCGGGGTTTTGGGTGCAAGACTTCGGCGTTTACGGTCTACATTGGGATTTGGGGTTGGCTTGAAGTTTTTGTAGGGTTATCTGGAAACAAAGGGTTTGGGGTGGGTTTCTCTGGCATTCCGAACTCAGAAGGATTTTGGCGACTAGCATCTAGAAGCTAAGTTGGACAGCCGGCCGTGTCAAAACCGTGGACCCTTTCCATTGAGAGACAACTCTACTCCTACCACGCCCTAAGACAAACGTCGCTCAAAAAACACGCCGTGCCTAAACATTTAAACCTAAGAGCCCTTAGCCACTAAAACCCGCACCGTACATCCTAGTTCCTGAGCTGGCGCCTCTGGTCCATCCTCGTCAACCTGGCAGAAGCAGGCTGCAAGGAGCGAGAACTGTGGCAAAACCGTGTGCTTCGAGGCACGTGAACTGAACTGTGGCAAGTATACCAACAATGATCCCTAACCCTTCAGGTACCTACTATATGGGGCCCTAGGGGCTCTAGTACCCTATATAGTAGGTACCTGCGGGGTTAGGGGATGTTCCCAGGATTCAGGGTGTTGCAGCGTGGCGCATGCAAGTTGAGGGATCTGGCTCTCGGTAGGACTTCAGCTCTACCATGGCGTGGACAAAACGTGCCGCCCCATTCAACCCTGAGTCCCCCGAACCCCGAAGCTTTTTAGTTTAGGGTTTAGGGTTTAGGGTACTTTTTAACACAAATCAAATTCGGGAGAGAAGGTACTGCCAAGACTTGATCAGCGTAATCTAAGGGTTGGAATCATCAATAATCGTGCCCCCTTATCGTCCTGATTACGAGGGTACTTAAAGGATCATGGGACATAGTAAGTAGGGTTATAATTAGGTTAACTATACTTATAACCCCAGTTAAGGGACTTATAACCTTACTTATTAAGTCCCATGCTCCTCCAAGTAGAGTGTTAAGGGCCTAGTTACGCCCAGGGGGCCGGCTTGCCCTTGGGCAGGCTGGCTAGGCGGCATGCAATGACAGTGAACTGTCATACCTACGTCAAAAATCCTGAAGCCCCAAATGGGGCCACCCCCCTAAACCCTAAACCCTAAACCCCCCACATTAGAGTCCCCTTTTCGGGCCTCAACACCAGGGCCCCAAAAGAAACCCTAATAGGGTTTAGGGTTTAGGGTTTAGGGCTAGACTGGGTCACCCGGCCGATGCCATGGATGGCATATGCCTCGAAGGTTCGGAGCTTGGGATTGAAACATGCTCGGAACGGGGTTTAGGGTTTAGGGTTTAGGGTTTAGGGAACGTACAGAATCTGATCCGGGAGGGATTTTAGGACTTCGAGTTTGGGAGTTTTTTCCACAAGTTTTCTTCGAAAAATCACGAAGACTGAAGCTCTTGAAGGGTTGCTTGGGGCCTCAATCATGGAAAAACAACCCTAAAACCTACGACCCCATGCCCTCAAAACCGAAAGCAAGAACGACAACCCAAAGACCCTTGAAACCCTGCCAGCTGTAAAGCCCGAAAACTTAGACTAAACGGGTTTAGGGGTTTAGGGCTTAGGGCCTAAACCCTAAACCCTAAACTTTAGGGTTTAGGGTGTACCCTGACGACCAAATCCTTTTCAACCTGAGTCGCTGACTCCAGGCTTTCCCCCGGTCGTTTTTGCGATCGCAGGGAGGAGCCAGGATAAGCTTCCCGAAAATGGGTTTAGGGTTTAGGGTTTAGGGTTCAGGGTTTAGGGTTTAGGGTTTAGGGCATGTGGTGTACATCTGCAAACAAGTACTGCAACCGAGTAAGATGTGCACACATACACACACCCAGTCCAAACCCTAAACCCTAAGCTCCGTAAGCCCTGAAGACCCTAGAGTGAGCCCTGAAATCGCTAAAGCGCCTGAGGTCCCTAAAGACTTACAACTCCAAAAGTGTTCCGAAACCGGAAGCCACAGCTTAGCGTTCAGGGTTTAGGGTTTAAGGGTTCAGGGTTTAGGGTTTTGTAAGGGTTCAGGGTTTAGGAGCTTCGGGATTAAGGGTTTAGGGTTCAAGGGTTCAGGGTTCGGGTTTAAGGGTTCAGGGCTTAAAATTAAGGGTTCAGGGTTTGGGAGCTTAGGGATTAAGGGTTCATGGCTTAGGAGCTTAGGGTTTAGGGCCCCGAAACCCCCCGGTGCTGCTGCGGCGCGTGTGGCTGATGCCCTCCGCCTTCGGCGAGCTCATGATCGAGGCCGGACTCACTCCTGCGGCAGGTTTAAGGCTGTTGGGTTTTAGGAATCGCTAAACCCTACACCCCTAAACCCCTAAACCCTAAACCCTAAACGGCTGTTGGGTTTAGGGCTCAAGGGCATTCTTTGAGCACTGGAGGACTTCTTTTTTTCAACGGCTTTTGGGTTAGAGGGTTTGGGGATTGGGCCTTTGGGGCCACTGGGGTAAGGGGGCGTCGCTTGTCGGCTGCCGCCAGCGCGACCCATAAGACAGCAAGGCCCTCTTCAGCTTTCGCTGATAAGAAGCATTCGGAACCCTAAACCCTAAAACCCTAAATCCCTAGGTTCTCTTGTGAACATGCACGAAAATCCTAGCCAAAGAACACCCATATGCAATGCCATGGCTCGCTGCTCCAATCTAGGGGCCTAAAATAACTAGAATACTGCTTTCGGGTATATCATGACCTTTTTGATGTATAGTGACAAGGACAATCAGTTAGCGTTGTTCGGGGATGTCATCACAACTATATGTATAGTTGCCAAGAATATAGTTAGAACGCGGAGCCCACAGGAATAGTATCAAGCTCACTCGGCGTCGGAGGCGCTGGCTCTGGGGCCTGTGCTTGGGAAACGTGGGAACCCTACTTCCTGTCAGAGTCTCACACGAAAAATGTCGTCATGTCTCGCAATGTTCGAAAAGGAAGAGCAAAGCGGTCGATGACGGTTTTCGTCGGTATGTTAAGGAAAAAATATTCACAGATTTTCATTCGCCGCATGTATTATGACAGCCCCAAGTTCAGCTCGGTGACAAGAGCACAGATTGGCGCTGGGCCGTGCTGAGATAGCCGGTTGCTTAAGACAAAATCCTCGAAGCCCACGGCTCTGCTAATCCATATAAGGCTTTGGAATCGAATTTCGTATTTATTGTCGAGAGCCCCACCCCAAACCTCACAACTTCTATGGCATCTGCTCACCTCCTTTCGGTGACGTCTGAGGCGGCAAAGGCGCTATGTCACCTGCCGGCTGCGGCTTTCTTCAACTCGTGCCAGCGAGCTTCAAGAATCTCAGTCTGTTCCAATCATAGACGAGTGGTGAGAATCATCATAACTTACACAAATAATTGCTTCGGTTCTTTTGTCTTTGCTTCGCTGCCATGGGCCTCAAACCCAAAACCCCAAAGCCCCAAACCCAAAATCCTAAACCCCCCTATCATCCCCTATCCCAAAACCCTATACCCCGAAACAGAAATCCTAAACCCCAAAACCCCAAACCCCAATGGCTGAGGGACCCAAGGGCCGGCCTTTTGGGCATGGGGTCTTCGGCAACTGCAAAGCCTCCGCATCGAGACATGGGGCTGATATCGGGGTATACGGGCGTTAAATTGCAGGTGTTTCATTGGGTTTCAGCTTTATACCATATGACTATATGATGTTCCACCGCAGGAACAAGGATAACAGCTTTTTTGTAGGCGTTGAGGACCTTCTTTCGGAGTTGTCCAGGTTGCTCTCTTTGCATGGGTGCCTGTGGGTGACTCCCTGTCCCTATGTGTCTGCATGGGCGTAGAAAGCCCTAAACCCTAAACCCTAAACTGTCTCCCTAAACCCTAAACCCCTAAACCCTAAACCCTACACCCTAAACTGTCTCTGCGAGCATCGTTGCAGATCAGGGGTTGCCTGCGCTGACTGTCAAAAGCGGTTTAGGGTTTGGGGTTTGCCTAGACCCCCCCAACTACCATCTATTATCCCCCAAATACCCACTATTAAGGACCATAGGGCTCTATTAAAGGGCCATTGGGGGGTCATGGTAGAGTTTAGGGTTTGGGGTTTAATCCTTGCACCCAACTCCCCCAAACTGGATCAAGGGCCAGCCGTAGGCCTCATAACCCTTGCCCGAAGCCCTACACCCCAAAAATCTTGAGCCGAAGCTCAGAAGCCCAAGCGGAAATCGTATACCCTCAAGCCAAGAGACGCTTTCGCAAGCCGCACTGAATCCTCTAAACCCTAAACCCTACCAGGACCCCCCCAATGGCAAGGCTCGAGCCCTAAAGCCCTAAAGCCGCAAACTCCACTGAACCCCGCAACGACCAAGGAAACCTCCTACACCCTAAACCCTAAACCCTCAACCCTAAACCCTAAACCCTTAACCCCTAATCCCTCAACCCTCAACCCTAAGCACTGGAACATGGCCTCCTCAGGCTGCGTCCGTTGCAGTGCGCGACTTTGGCGCCTGGGACGAGCAGCAAACGTTAATGTAGGGGCCTTAATAATTCGGGTTTTTGGGGGGTCCTTATTATAATTATAGTATAGAATTCCACCCGGAAACCCTATTCTAATTATGTTGAGGCCCCTATATTATCGGATTTTTTGGGGGATTCCAAGACTTTCGGACTTTAAGGTAAGGCTTTGAATTGCTTCAGAGTTTCAGGTTTGGCTTTGGCGCCGGGCTTCCGGTCGCTACTGCTCCATTGCGGCTAGCAGGAAGACCGGTTCTTATGGTGATTTCACGTGCTCTTGCGGCTGTAAGGCCCATTGCCAATCATGGTGGCACAGAGACTCCGTACGGCTCAGCGCGATATATTCAAGCTTCATGACTGCCCAAGTCGGGCTTGTCTTTGTATCATGCATCTTAGTTCCCAGCAGTGTCTCCCTGCGGCCCTGACCCGCTTACCCTTAACCTTGACCGCTTTACCCCAAGCCCGAAACACCTGAAACACGTTTGACACTTGCAGAACACCTAGAAGCCAAAATCCCTAACAGAAGCCCCAGAGGCAAGGCGGTATCCCAGAGTTCTAGGGCTTCGGGCTTTAGGGTTCAGGGATTACGATCCAGTGGTTGAATGCTTTTGGGCCTAGGGTCTACATGTCCTACCATATCTTCATCGGTGGTCAGGTACCACGACCCTGCCACAGCTCAGCTACTGCAGCCATGCAGCCATATCCAGCAACAAACCTGTCGCGGCGTCACATCGTGGTTCTCTAAGGTTTCACAAGGGGTCCACTGGGGCCTCGAAGGCATTCTAATGTAGGGACCTTAATAATTAGAACAGGGTTTTGGGGTATATTATACTATAATTATAATAAGGAGCCCCCCAAAATAATATTGCTAGTTATTGAGGCCCTTATATTACGAGGCTGCAAAAAGACTCTGAAGGCTTCTCTGGGACTTTGTAAGGGTTCTATCTTGTTTAGGGTTAGCCAGCATATCCCCTAGATGACAAGGCTAACCTCTCCTACTGTTCAGTTTTAAGGAGGCAACCCCGGACGCCCATACAAAACCCTAAACACAAGTCAGGAAAGGTAGTGCTTCGATAATAAGATCAATGCAGGCTCGATGCAGTTTACCTGCAATGGGTCCCAAACCCTAACTCCTAAACCCTAAACCTAAGGCTGAAATTTCGTATCACATTCCAAGGTTCCTGACCGTCGTGTGCCAATACAGACACGATGCATGCGTCTAAATTGCAGTGCCATCAAGATGTAAGGCTTCTTTGGGTTGGGTTTTGGTGTTGGATTCTTCAACTCTATACTCAACGCTTATGCATGTATAAACTCCTGCATTTATCACCTCTGTAACAACCCTCGTTTAGTGAACGCTTTGGAATGCTATTGCTAATTCTTCATACCCCTATACTAGGGATTGACGACTTATGGCTCGGAGATTCGGAAAACAAAATGCCTCGACAAGAAACCCCTGTAACGAAAGAACCCTGGCTGCACCTCAGCGCAAGAACTATGAGCTGTTTAGGGTGGACTATACAGGAGAAGCTGAACAAAAAAGACAGAGGGCGTAAGGAAACATGCTCTCTTTGCGGCCACGTTGCTGTGACAGCGGCCATTGAAAATGCAAAGCCCAGCACAATCGCCTGGGCCGGCGGAATAATACTTAGCACAGGGATTTGGGGGATTCCTTATTATAGCTATAGTATAATCTACCCCCCAAGCCCTATTCTCATTATTAAGGCCCCTATGTTAGAGAACT